TGGTATTCTAAAGGTTGGATTATGACACTCTAGATGCCATTCTCTCCCAACACCACTGCTTTGTTAGCAGAATGGAGTCACATCTACTATTATATTCAAGGAAACTTGTCACTCAGGGACATTCCCACCTGGTGATTGGTGACGCCAAATTATGAAAATTTAGTATCACAGATACTTCCTTCCCTAACTATTTTTCGAACGGCATCACCACCATTTTGTTCTCTATATTGCGTATTCCCGTGAGAGTGAATCCAGCGGTAACCACCGAACAGTCCACTTACATAAGCCATCTAGTCTGCGCCGATAAGAAATCATTTTCAGCCGTGACGCTCATGTTTTTCCATTTCAAATCCGTGATGACGCCAAATTTCCGCGCATTCATGTCAACTCACCCAGTAGAGTAGTCCTCCACGGATGACTACTCACCATCGACTGCAATCGTGGTGCATCCCGATGCAGCAATGACAACCACGCATGTTGACGACACAAAATCAGGGACATTTGAGGAAGAAACTACTGATGGCACGCATGCTCTCTATTACCACATTTCCAACACTTCTACTATCCTAAAAGCTTCTCTGCGTCTCTACTTCGCATACCTTCTCGGCCTTTACATACCTGTCCCGTCTATTCTTTTCTTAGTGATTTGCACTAAGATTCTTAGCAGAATACCCCATTATTAGACACCTACGCATGTTGACAAAGTGGGACATTACTGGATACTGCAATTTCCTCAATTTTTGCAATTATTAATCAATTTAGAATATTTTAATTAACATTTTTCCCGATCAGTATCACCAAAATTTTCTGGTCTAATTTGGGCATCTCCACGGGTGAATCAAGCGAGGGACCAAAAACCACTTCACTCACATAATCCGTCCAGTTTGCGCCGATCGGAATTCATTTTCACATCAACCTCACACCATTTCTGACTGCCTCAACTCTGGCCTCAAACCTATCTGGTTGGGAGCCCTGTATAGCAGACCTGAATATACAAAATTCGGATGGGGAAGTTACTCGGTCTTTATTTTACGCCATGTAATTTGATACATGCTCATTGAACACATCGTACCTCACCCATGCGCAAGACCGGGTGGTGAGAGCCTCCATGATTCAGGGCCACGTCACGGTTGCTGGTTCGTAGCGGTAGGGTCGAGCTACTTGGAACTATGGCCCGTTTGAAGATACCTGACAAGTTGAGCTAGCGACGAATGTAGCTGTGTAATTGGTACCACCAATTCCGTGGTGAGTAGTGATGGTAGTAGTGCACACTAGGACCCTACATAGTGCTAGTATGAGTGATGGCTGCTGAATGAAGCATATTGTGCTATGCTGCGACACAATTCCATGGATTTACCGGAAGGAGCCATCGGGAGTCTCTCATACAACCCAACATGGCTTGCTATACTTTAAAGACTATCTAAATTCCGAAAATAAAGACGGAATAGTTTAAACGCAGAATAAGAAAATCCCTCAACTTTCGGATCCCGCTTTCCAGAGACTCAAGTATGTATAGGCATGAACCACAGAGGCATATTTCATATTACTTCCTCAACCTTCCAACAAGTCCAATAATGAGTACATAGATGGGATCGAACCAGATCACGCTTCCTTACTTCATGATACCAATATATGATACGGTTACCCGAATCAATAAGAAATGAATAAAGTCAAGATCATCCTCACAGCTCCTCATCAGGTCCTCGTTTCCTGACGATAGAGACCCCATCACATATACACAACATAGAGGCCTCCACACGATCATCCACCAATATCTTCTTGTTCAATCTATCTATGGCTGATCCTTCCTCATCATTTTGATCAAGGACGGTTCCGCCATAGAATGTGTTGTCAACAGCGATGATACCCGTAACAGGCTTGGCAAGCTTGAGAGCAAACTCGTAATAATCATCGTAAGAGCGCTTATCAGCATCAATGAAAATAAAGTCGAAGGTGGAGTTATCTGTCGCGACCAACTTCTTCATAGTGTCAACCGCATTACCAATCCTAATCTCGATACGATCATTAACACCGAGTTCTTTCCAATAGTCCTCAGCTTGGACCTCATCAAGATACTCTTTACAAACATCCAGTCCGATGACTTTACCGTCTTTCCCCACACCTTGCGCGAGATAGGCAGTAGTAGCACCACGAAATACACCAACCTGACCGATTGATGATTGATAGGACCGATTTAATACTATCCAAGGTTGGATGATGAGTTCACCTCGAGGACCTTCTTCGCCCCTGTAGCCCTCAACATCAGCTTGAAGAACTGAGCCTCGTCCATCCCGCCTGTCATTCTGGCTTTGTCCTTCTCCCCAATCTTAGCATAGAACTGGCGTTGGAGATCAGAGACCCTGAATAAAGGTGTAGCAATACTACCTTATCGATAGGCAGGTAGTACTGATACCTTATCGAATTATCGAAGTAGTACTGATTGAGCTTGGGATGACTGGCTATAGTCGGAGGCTCGCTAGATTTGAGTTCGTCACGAGACATGGGGTAGAAAGTAAGACAACAAAGCCACGTAATATGCCCGAATTGCGTGTGAATTCTGGGCACGTAGGTACCATAATGGCATCCTGGAGACAACGAAAGCCCCATAACCGCACAGAAGGATATGATAGTAATAATACAGCTATAGCCGTATGACAGCAAGCAATTACAGAAGAGAATTTGATTAAGCACAACCGTCGAGACATATGCTCGGAATACCAACGGGAATCAATGCAGGGTCTACGCTAGATAGAGTCTGTAGGAAAGTTCGAGGGTCTGATTTGATGATGCGGGCAAAACGGCGACAATGAAAGCCACGAAGAGCCTTGCACATGTCATGGTTTATGTTCCAGCATTCGCCATCGGTAAAGGACAAAGAGCAAAGTCTCTCGAGACATGGCATACACCACTGAATTTTTAGAGAGCAATCGCTCTTCTGTGTTCAATGTCAACCAAATGACTTCCACATGGCATGCGGCGCGTGCCGATATCAGTGATTCCAAGCAGATGAAAGCGTGTGTCCTACCCAAGATACTTCCGTTGAAAGTTACATCCGTTACGAGCTTCCTGGCATCGTTACGAGCTGGACTCCGAATGTTTTGATCGAGATGCCGAACGAACGGTGACAGTCCGATTCCGAGGTATCTCCGCGGGGCCACCAGTACCTCCGCCGAGAAACGTGAATATTCAACCCGCGCTTGTTAGGAAGAGAGCGACCACAATTCGGTTCCACATGTTGCTCATACTGAGCTGACAGGTGAAGTACGACATACAATCGAGCCCAGCGGCTCGGCTCGAGCCCCACTCGAATAGTGCCTCCCAGTGGGAGGCTTTGATGGGCTTCGAGTAGCGGTGCCCACCACTCCTGTAAATATGCATACCTACGACGATACGGCGCCTAATCAACGCTAGAGGAGAATGATCACTGGACAGGATCAAATTCAGAAGAAGGAAGATCGAGAGGTCAGCGTTCAACCAGTACCCAATCATGGATGAGTGGACGACATGCACTGGAGTGGGACACAGGCTGGCTTGCGCGTGACTGAGTGCATAACCCATCACACACAATGAAGCCAATCACAGACTCTCGTGTAGTGTGATCGCCATCATAGAGTGCATCGTCTTCCTCATCCTGATGAGCGTAACTATCTACAGACAAAAAGATGGTTTATCCATGGTGTGCAATCTACCGCTGGAAACTCTCC